GAATGATGTTGGCAATCATTCAGCTTCCATGGTTGACAGCGGCTTTAGGATCGACGGCGTGGTGCCAAACGTCTCGGGCCTCCAAACCCTCTGGACCTAAAGCCCCTAAAGTTTCGAGTTTCGGATTTAGGGTTGTGGTGTTCAGGGTTTGGGGACCTCCGCACCGAAAGGATCCCAAAGCTCTGGCGAGTCCCTACAAGTCCGCTGCGCCGGCGCCTGCACGCAACTTTCGCAACTGAGGCCACGCAGCCCGGGAAGTCCCAGGCCTCGGGCCATTGCCGGGGTTCTGCAGGTTTAGGGGGTCAGGGTTTAGGGGGTTTAGGGCTTAGGGGTTTAGGGTTTAGGGGTTTAGGGGTTTAAAGGGCTTAGGGGGTTTAGGGTTTAGGGGTTTAGGGTTTAAGGGTTTAGGGGTTTAAAGGGCTTAGGGGGTTTAGGGTTTAGGGGTTTAGGGTTTAAGGGTTTAGGGGGTTAGGTGTTAGGGGGTTTTGGGTTTAGGGGTTTAGGGTTTAGGGGTTTAGGGGTTTAAAGGGCTTAGGGGGTTTAGGGTTTAGGGTTTTGTCCAAGGGTGTCTGTGAAACGCTACAACCCCTGACCCTAGAGCCTGTTGCAATCGGCGTTCAGACTTCGAACGTCAGGGCTGAGAGATCCTTTTGGGATGGATCGACGGAGAGATACGCAGACAGGCAGACAGACAGGCAAACAAACTCGTCAACCCGTCAGACAGACCCCTTGCAATCTACATTGAGGTCTTACGGTGGCCCTTACACCAGAAAGCTACTAGAGTTCAGGCTTGGTGATTGAATTGACTTGCTATAGCTGGTGCAGGGCCTTGGAGCGGGAACCAACTCCGAAGATGCAAAAACCATGAGCCCCAAAACCAGTGAGCCTACCCGCTACAAACACAACCGAAACTAAAACTGCACCTTGACCCTTGAACCCATCCTCCAAACTCCTAAACCCTACACAATTAACCTCCAACTCCAACCCCCTAACTCCTGAACCCTGCCCCTAAACTTAAAGCCTGGGAGCCGTTATACCAGATGCCGTTGACACATTGCAAGCGTTCGACTGTAGCTACTGCATCCTTGCGAAGTAGGCCTGAATCATGTTTCGGGGTTTCGGTGTTCAGGGCATTAGAGTAAAGGGTTTAGGGTTTACGTTTACGGTGCAGGGGTAAGGGCTTGAGTTTGCAGCTCAATGGCTTTGGGGTTTAATGGGTACAAGGCTGTAGAGCATGGCTACAATACGACAAGAAGATGCTCGCCTTGACTGACTTAACCATAAGGACTGCAATATTGCAACCTAAAGCCGAGGAATGTAATAAGTAAGGATGTTAGCTCGAAGTGCAACTTGAGGCCACGATATCTCGAAGCCATCAGTCGCAAGGCTCAGTGTCCAACAAGGGTTAAGGGCATTAGGTTCAAAACTCAAGGGTTAAGATTCTGGGTTGAGGGCTAAGGGATCCGAAACATCGAATCCGCAAGCTCCAGTACGCAGGGCTCCAAACCCTAAACCCTGAAGCCCAAACCCTAAATCCAAACCCTGAACCCTAAACCCTAAACTTCACACAACCAGATGAAGCCAAGGCTCTCTCCTTTCAGTCCCCCACTAATACCAATACCGACGACACTATGATTTTAATACGAATACGTATACGAATACAAACAGTAGTCCTAATGTCAAGACGAGTACCGATACGCGTGAACATAATACTGATCCTAACCCCCATACCAATCCCAATACAACTACGAACACTCATACGAACAACAAGAAAACTGTGCGAAGAAGGAGAAGAACAACAAGAAGAAGAGGAAGACTAACTGTAGTGGCAGTCGTCGTCGTAGGAGTAGTAGCCAAAAAATCGCTATAATAATGACAGGATATAACAGCATTCTAAGATTTCTGTTACTACAATGACAAACGAATGCCCGAAACGACAATCACAATACGACCGATGGTATATAGTATATGTACAATGTACACATACATACATACATACATACATACATACATACATATATCTAAACCCTGAACCTTAGAGCATACATATGGTTACATGTGTACGCAAAGCTAAGCGTCGATATCGCTCGCTCCAGCAGGATGCCGTTAAAGGTGCGCCATGATCGAAGGACTTCGGCAGAGGCCTTCAAGGGGGGCTTTTGGAGTTTCGGGTTTAGGGTTGGTTTAGAGTTTAGGGTCTAGGGGTACCGCTTTCGGTTTAGGGTTTAGTTTAGGGGGTTTGGGGGCTACGGATTGGGGCTCATGGTTCAATTTGGGGCCCTCTGTTTATTCCTCTGTCACACTTTCGTGCCTACAGAGTGATGACTCACGGATCTGTGCAGAGCCTTGCAAAAGCATACCGCGAGAGCCCAATACCCCTTCAATCAGGAATTTACATTACATCATAGAGGGCTTACTATACTATCATGAGTCGACGACTATTTCTTGATAAAGGGGTGTTGGGTTGTCCGTGTGCCTTAAATCTCCCCCAGCTTACGTGCCGCATGCCAGGTGGCAGTGCCCCTGTATCACACCCTGGAGCCCTCTTCCACGGTTCAGGGTTTAGGGGTTCAGGGTTTAGAGCAACAAGAAGTTCACACACACGGACATAGTCGGCACAAAGACAAACATCCGTGGCCGTCGGGATACAATGGAGGCCCTGAAACCTGAACCTCGAAACCCATTACGTACTCCTATTACTACTTACTACTACTGCTACTACTACTACTACTACTACGCCGACGACTACTGCTACTGCTACTGCTACTGCTACTGCTACTGCTACTGCTACTGCTACTGCTACTGCTACTGCTACTGCTACTTCTACTACTACTACTACTACTACTACTACTACTACTACTGCTACTACTGCTACTTGTACTACTATTACTACTAGTACAGCCATTGCTACTATTGCTACAATTACTCCTATTACTACTCTTACTACGGTTACTACTAGTACTACTATTACTACTATTGCTACTATCACTACCATTACTTCTACTACTATTGCTACTACTACTACTACTACTACTACTACTACTACTACTACTACGATTTCTACTATTACTAGTACTATTGCTATCACTTTTGCTACTGCTAACACTATGATGATTATGATGATTATGATTATGACTATTCTGACTCTTATGATGAATGTGATGACTATCCTTGCTGTTACGCTCTATTTCAGCCCGGTTTTTTTGGGCGAAGACCCTGGCCCTAAGACCTGGAACTCGGAACCCCTAGGAACTCGCGGCCACACTTCGGCGAGTGTGTGGTTTACGGGCCTCTTGTGTTGCCAATGATGGGAGTCGACGACCCTGTGCCCGGGTCGGGCGCACTGCTGCACGCCCATGCCACCAAGCAGCAGAACAGCATCACACCTGAACCGCCAAATCCTAAACCCTGAATCCTGAAACCAAAACGGAAATACCCGATTAGCTCGAACACGTAATCGATCAGCTGTAAGGGGTTTCTAGTGGGCAACCCACAACAATCTTAATCGTACTGCTGCAAATATAGGATTCCGGGTTGAGGACACAGCGGGCTTAGAGAGTGGATTACGCGGGTTCGCGGTGTAGGGAGAAGGATTCCTAGGTCTCACAAAAGGGGTTGCAAGCTCCAACAAACGCGTGCTCTTTTGACCGAGATACTGCTGATAGAGGTGCAAGTGCAAGAACCCGCTCCAGATGCCCGCATTGCCTACATCCGACGCATCCGAGAATGATCTGCTTGCAACCGACTGTCGCAACAGCACAGCAGCAGTCGCTGGCTTCGCGACCGAGATGCCCGAGATGTACACGTGCGACGAGATGCGCTCGAACTCGAAGACGATCTCGCCTCGGGGATTTGCTGTCGCCACGCCTGAGAAACGGGGGATAACGAGGTCGCCGGAATGAGCACGAGATTCTCTGCCATGGTTCACCGATATCTTGCACTGGCCAACCCAGGAAGTGTCGGTTCTCTCTCCTACCTGGAACAATTCGTAAACGTACATGGCAGCTGGGGTCAAGCCCTTCACGACTGCGGTCGCCTTACCATCCTTGTTCCTTAGAAAACCACGTCCATAAGCTCGAGTGTTGGTCCACCCCGACAGCTGAGCTGAGTAGCCGTTGGCAATGCTGACATCGAAAGTTTGATCCTCGATGTCGTTCATATTTTGGACTCCAAAGGAGTCAAAGTTGTTCTCGGGCTCTCTGGCGAGATGCTCCGAAACTTCAAGGACAGCTCCTGCTCGCAACTTCCACTTCAAGTACTCCATGCTGACTTGCATCTCTTCCTCCGAGAGCGCCCTGTCCCAGGTGATGATCTCCATGACTCCGTAGTTTGATTTTGAACCGTGCTCCTCCTCGTTTACCATCAAGGGCATGGCTTTGCTGAATTTCTTGCCTTCCTTCTTCGCTATGTTGACTGTGGTGTTTCCCATGGCGCTGCTGTAAGTTCGCTTGCCACCGTTGGTCGAACACATCACCAGCCAGTCAAGCGATTTGGACAAAGGTGCGTTTTCATCAGTGAGAAAGCCGTCATGATAAGTACATCCTGGCTTCCCACAACAATGTCCATGTAACCAATTCGCGCCATTGGTTTCTAAGATTCGGTTCGTGTTATCATTGCTGGTATATCGAGTGACGGAGCAAAGTGTGTAGGTCGGCTTCAAGATGTCCCCGAAGTGGTAGCGTGACGATGTCTCCCCACTCAGGTACGTCACCGGGCGATCTGCACCCCAGCCAGCCTCCACCTTGCGGTAGACCGAGTTTTGTCGCGACCGTCCTTCGAACCCTCCAACGGAGCTGGGCCACACAGAGCCTGCGTGCTCGCTTTTGAACCAGGCCACCATGCCCTGCGCAGGGTTGACCCGCAAAACAAATAAATCAAGGAGGAAGCACTGCGCATGCGAGTGCAAACAACAGGAGTGAACGGCCCTGCGGTTAGCCTACGCAGACTGCCCCGCGTGCAAGCTCCGAAGGACGACCACGCAAGGGACCAACAGCACATAATCATTCTCCTGCAAACCTCTTAGATGTCTCTGTAACCCTTGAATCCCAACAACTCGAAAGAAACTTTCTTGGCATGACTTCGTGAAGCCCCTGCTCTTGCACCTGCAGTGGGGGATCCGCGGGCTTGGACACGGCCCCGGACGGTCCAACTGCTGCGACGGAGATGCCCGAGATGTACACGTGCGACGAGATGCGCTCGAACTCGAAGACGATCTCGCCTCGGGGATTTGCTGTCGCCACGCCTGAGAAACGGGGGATAACGAGGTCGCCGGAATGAGCACGAGATTCTCTGCCATGGTTCACCGATATCTTGCACTGGCCAACCCAGGAAGTGTCGGTTCTCTCTCCTACCTGGAACAATTCGTAAACGTACATGGCAGCTGGGGTCAAGCCCTTCACGACTGCGGTCGCCTTACCATCCTTGTTCCTTAGAAAACCACGTCCATAAGCTCGAGTGTTGGTCCACCCCGACAGCTGAGCTGAGTAGCCGTTGGCAATGCTGACATCGAAAGTTTGATCCTCGATGTCGTTCATATTTTGGACTCCAAAGGAGTCAAAGTTGTTCTCGGGCTCTCTGGCGAGATGCTCCGAAACTTCAAGGACAGCTCCTGCTCGCAACTTCCACTTCAAGTACTCCATGCTGACTTGCATCTCTTCCTCCGAGAGCGCCCTGTCCCAGGTGATGATCTCCATGACTCCGTAGTTTGATTTTGAACCGTGCTCCTCCTCGTTTACCATCAAGGGCATGGCTTTGCTGAATTTCTTGCCTTCCTTCTTCGCTATGTTGACTGTGGTGTTTCCCATGGCGCTGCTGTAAGTTCGCTTGCCACCGTTGGTCGAACACATCACCAGCCAGTCAAGCGATTTGGACAAAGGTGCGTGTTCATCAGTGAGAAAGCCGTCATGATAAGTATATCCTGGCTTCCCACAACAATGTCCATGTAACCAATTCGCACCATTGGTTTCTAAGATTCGGTTCGTGTTATCATTGCTGGTATATCGAGTGACGGAGCAAAGTGTGTAGGTCGGCTTCAAGATGTCCCCGAAGCGGTAGCGCGACGATGTGTCCCCACTCAGGTACGTCACCGGGCGATCTGCACCCCAGCCAGCCTCCACCTTGCGGTAGACGGAGTTTTGTCGCGACCGTCCTTCGAACCCTCCAACCGAGCTGGGCCACACAGAGCCTGCGTGCTCGCTTTTGAACCAGGCCACCATGCCCTGCACACGGTGGGATAGCGGTAGCAGGAGTGGTGGTGGTGCTGCTGCTGCTGCTGGTGCTAGTGCTGGTGCTGGTGCTGGTGCTGGTGCTGGTGCTGGTGCTGGTGCTGGCGCTGGCGCTGGTGCTGGTGCGTGCTGGTGGTGCTGGGCAGTACTAGGATTTTGTACTAGTGACAGTACTGGGAATAGCGGCTGTAAATGCAACAGCTCTGAGATCTGCAATGACTGAAGGGATAGTTCCTCTGACGATGATAACACAACGCTGGATAGTGGCAGCTCTGCAGAGCAAGGGCGCTAGTGAAACTATGAGTTAAAACGATAGCAAAAAAGGTACTTGTGCCAAGAGCAACAGTGAGATGCTAGCGCTGTTGAACCTAATGACCAGGCTGTCATCATCAGCTCCAACTTCCTCGCAACACTCATCACCATGTCGGTGCAGCATCTTTACATGCTCGGCATGGTCATCACAAAGATCATCACCTCCAACATCGTGATCACCGCGTTCGTTGCTCCTGCTACATGAGCTCAAAAGTGCCACGCAGCACATTGAATTCGATGGCCAAACGACAGAAGCTTCTTCTGCAAGTAAAAATACTCAAACACCGTCCGCCATCCGCCCCCAACGGCCTCTGCGGTCGGTTCCGACGGCTGGGGTGGCAAGTTGAGACTCTTGCCCTGGCAGAGCAAGGCTTTCAGGTTTGGGGTGTGGTAAGAGACCCTACACCCTTGAGCATTACAGGGCTTTCGTCAGTTCAAAGGGTCAGGATTGAATGTAGTGATATGTGATGGGATTTTCGTTGCAACGAAACCGTCTAGGCTCTGATTGGGGCTTGAGCCTGAACCCTAAAGCTAGTCCTACACCGAAACTCCTCAAACTAATCATAGCAGAAAGGCATAAAGCAAGCGTTTGACCAAGGCTAGGATGTGAACCAAGGACCAAAGTCCAAAGCTTAAATACATGTGGCTCTACATAGACGGACGGGGGACTTATGAGCAACAGCTGCTCTCTAGGCTCCACCTACTGATGACCCTACTCACTACATCAGATTGTGTCAGAATCCCAGCTTTTTGGGGGGTCCGGGGTCTGGGGGACCCTATCTTCGTCAACACTCGCAACCTCATGAACGGTAAGCTGCATAGTGGCACTACTTGTCCCCGAAAAGCCTGCGCCAAATCCAAAACATCCTGACAACCGAAACCCTGAACTAAATCCCTAAACACTATCAACCTCTAAGCCCTAAATTCCTAAACCCAGCATCCGAATCCCTGAGCCCCTGAACTCATCATCCTGAGAAGTTGCCTGCTCTGTGTCCGGGCGTAAAGAGCTGGTTGGATCGAATGCCATAGTAAGGAAACTCCTGTCTGAAGAGAGCACGGTTTCGGGAGTACGACAATTCGGGTGTTCGCGTATAGTGTACAACCAACCGTATGATATTGGTACTAGATTTCTCTCAGAACAACCCACAAGATAGACTCGCCAGAACCAACACGCTGATTCATGAAGAGACAACCCTAAACCTTTGGGTCCTTGTACCAATGATCCTTCGATTTTGCTGTCGATATCAAGTGCCCCTGTGGTTTGGGGTTGCAAGGAGGGCTTCAGCATGTAGGGGTTTAGGAGTGGGGCCATATGACCAAACGTGAAGATGATGTAACCTAAAGTGAGATCGGGGAACTCTACAGGAGATTACCGGGTACGGTGTTTGCATCACATAATTCAAAAACCCTAAACCCTAAACCCCTCTAGAATCACCGATTCTGTACACTAAACGGCAAACGCTAGAGCAAAACCTTAACAGCCTAAAGCCAAAAGGATTTAGAGAAACGGTGCACACCCTCAGCCCATGGGGCCCTAACCACTGAACCCGTGCTAAACCGTAACCCTAAACCCCTAAACCCTAAACAGTCGAAAACAATTCCTTCGCAAGGATGTTGCCCAACACTTCGCAGCATCCGCCACAGAACAGCTGCTTTCTCGCGGCATAGCCTCTCTTTGGTTCCAGTAAGGTTTCTTCAAAGGATAATAAGTCTACGGCGGGCAGCCAGGGATTAGGTTTAGGGCAGGGTTTAGAACGTAGTAAGTGGGGTGCTAGTACCTCAGTCGGCGCTCGAAGTAGATGTTACTATCGCTTCCCACATGTTTCCGTCAAACTTGCTTCGTACCTTGATCCCTACATCGTCATTTCTCTCACTCTCGGCCACTCTCTCTCTCTCTCTCTTTCTCTTGCTCTGTCTGACTCTCTCACCCTCTCTCGCTCGCTCTCTACATCGCTCTCTCTCTCTCTCTCTCTCTCTCTCTCTCTCTCTCTCTCTATGCATGTATATGCATATATATATATACACATATATATGTATGCACACATATACAAATATACATATATGTCTATCTATCTACTTATCTATCTGTCGTCGTATCTATTTTGCTTTACACCTCTGCAGCTCTTTATCTACCTATCTATCGGTCTTTCTGTCTTTCTGTCTATCTGTGATCTGTCTACCTGTCTGTCGATCCGTCCATCTATCCATCTGTTATCCATCTGTCCATCTGCTCTCCCTCTCTCTGTCTCTCTCCCCGGCATAGGAGCCCTACTCTTTCTTCTTCAGCACAGTCAGAGGGACAGCGTGGTCGCGAAGCCCCTGCGCGTTACCGCGCACTGGGGTTTTCTGGACAGAGTGAAAGGCCAAGACAGTTTGTGGGACGACTCTTTCTCTCTCTTCTTCAGCACAGACAGAGGGAAGCGCGATCCGCAGTCCGCGCCCCCCTCGCGCGTTACCGCGCACTGGGTTTCTCTCTCTCTCTCTCTCTTTCTCTGTCCCTCTCTCCCTCGCTCCCCCCCTCCCCCCCGCCCTCCCTCCCTCCCCCCGCCCTCCCTCACTCCCTCCCTCTCTCTCTCTCTCTCTCTCTCTCTCTCTCTCTCTCTCTGTCTGTCTCTCACCGCACAGCCCGATCTCCCCAACCCGCAAACTCCAGATCGTTAAGCAAACCCGAAACCCTCACAGAAACGCTTATACTAAGTCGTATAGACAGCATTCTCAGAAGAACCCTCCCCCTGCAGGGCAACTCTTAGAGAACCCTAGAATCTCCTTCAGAGCCGTATGAAAATCTTACAAAGCCCATTCAAAACCAACCTACTATCGAACCTTTATGCGAAGCCTTCACAAAAGCCCCGCTTTAAAAGAGCCCTAAACCCTCCGAAACCCTCAGAAACCCCCACCTTGAGGTCTCCTTCGAGGCTGAACTCACGCACGAGGTTGTCGCAGCCGCTGAAGAGACGGCACGTCGCCGCGCCGTGCTGCGAGCCGTGCCTCGGCGGAGTTTCGCAAAAATGCGGCACGGCGTTATGGTAGTAGCAGTATGGTGGTAGTATATAGTAGTAGTATATAGTATTTTGTAGTAGTACATAGTAGTATATATAGTACTATATAGTAGTATGTAGTCGTCGTCGTAGTAGTAGTCGTAGCAGTAGTAGTAGCATGAGGAAGGGCAAGTTTCTTGGAGGCCTCCATAGTTTGGCCCGGGTGGAGACTTTCGTCTGGTTGTGAGAGAGGGCGATAGAAACAGGACGCCAGATGTTCAACAAGGGAGACCGCGTAGTTAACATTTTTTTTGGCTTACTAGTGCCCTTCATGGCTTTTTCGTCCGAAAAACTTCGGCTGTAACTCCCCTTCCTTTTCATGAAGAGATGGCACCTACTCCTAAACCCTAAACCGTCTTTGAGTGAACCACGCTGCCAGAAGAATGCGCACGTCTCTTCTTCACGACAGCGGGCTTCGCAGTCCGAGGGCTCAAGGACCTGAAGGTCGCAGGCGTTTCGAAGCTCTCGGAATTCGAGATTCGGTTTAGGGTGTAGGGTTTAGGGGTTAGGGTTTAGGGTTTAGGGTTTAGGGTTTAGGGCTTGGGGTTCAGGGCTTCGGAATTGGAGCTGACGTGTTTCTCAAACTTCGTGATCCTTATCAAGGATGCAAGGCTCTGAGGTTGCGGGCTAGTCGTCTTTGGGGTCGGTATCAGAAGGCAGAAAAGTCCAAAGTGGCAGGGTTCAGTTTCACAGCCTTCACGTATAACAGCTGCAGAACTGAGGCAGCCTTTGCAATTTTTGCAAAGAGACAATCTGGAAGTTTCGGCCTCCTGTCCAAAGCCGTGACAAATTGATCACCCAGTGCTTCCAGAATGACTGTGACTATAGACTTTCCTGACCATATTATGATCTTGTTGTGTCTTCTTCGACATGTTTTAATCTCTATACCATCTTTCGGTTCCCACCGCCTGCTCCTCTGATTGGAAGTGGATGCCCAAGCCACCTGCCGATGAGGCGGTTCCATTTTAGTAGCAATGGTAAACCCGGCGGAAGCCTGTACTTACACTGTCGGCGCAACAGAAAATCGGCTCCCCAGCGCTCTTTACACTCACACACGCGTTCTTCAGATGCTGACAACAAGAGACGCGAAGATATCGAAGACCCGTAGAACCCGCGCTGTGGATAACAGTTGACAAAGCATTGCCTTGCAAGAGTTGCCGCGACGGGCATGTCAGCTGCCCTGTGACGATGGAGTAGGGAACCGGAATGAAGTTGTTGTCGCTGGCAGCCTCAAGGGCTCTACAGGGAATGGTAGGGTTCCCTTATAAAGGGGTCTATCAGGGTTACTATAAGGGATCTATATAAGGGTACTATAATATGGGGGCCTTAATAATCCTATAACTTACCTGTGGTTAGTAGGGAATGGAAGAATGGTAGTAATAGTAGTTAGAATTGTACCCCATTCCTCCATTCCCTACTAACCAAAGGTAAGTTTAGGCTCGTGGCTTGTGGATGGCTGTTTGCATCTCGCAAAACAGGCGCTGCAGCAGATCTTCTCACGCTTACTCGGGAACCCGTATCATTCACAACTGCCCCCAAAAAAACTCCGAAACCGGGAACCAGTAACCCTAAACCCTACAGCCTTTATCCTAGAAGTGAAACCAAGAAACCTGCAACCCTAAACCCGGAATCTCGACCCTAAACCGACACCCTGAAGCCAAAGCCCACACCCTGAACCTAAAACCAAAACCCAAAACCTACCCTAACAATTCAAACAAGATCTTGCTTCTAGGCTTATAGTGCCATCGGCAAACACCACATGACACCTTCTGCGCTTAGAGTTGTTCGGGATGAGGACAGCGATGTTCCAACACGACCCCTGGCTCCTAAATCCCTAAACCGCAAACCCTCAAAGCCCTAAGCCCCAAACCCTGAAACCCCTAAACCCTAACACCCCTAAACCCCCAACCCCCAAACCCCAAACCCCCAAACCCCTAAACCCTAAAGCCCCTCATCGCTATGACGCAGAGCAGCCGGAAGGTGCTCAAACATCTGCGGATCCACGGGCAACTCCGGGCCCCAATCGGACGGGGCACCTGGGAAGGCTCTTCGAGGCGGTCAGGTTTAGGATTTAGGGTTACAGGGAACTCCAGAAAGTTGGAATATGGTTTCATGGTAGGATACACTGTAATTTACAATAGAAGGGTTAGGATAATCATATTCCAACTTTCTGGCTTTTACCTTAAGGGTTTAGGTTTCAGGGTTTAGGGTTTAGGGTTTAGAGCTGCTAGGAAGCTGAATCATGAAGAATGGGAGGCTTGGGGGTATGCTCCAGTAGCAATATCTGGACAACAAGGGAATACTATGACCGCAATATTCACCCTCCGTCCGCCCCCCTATACTCTGCTACTCTGTTTGTCGGGGTGCTTTCAAAAAGCCTCGCCGAGTTCATGCATGCACGGACGCCAGACGAACTTCGTTTGATGTAAGAAACGCATGAAACATATCAAACAGAATAATCCGAAGAAGCTACAATCTAGGAGCCACCCCATGACCTTGAAACTTAAGGGAAAAATCCTTTAATATAGAGGCTGGCGGCTTGCATAAATGGACTGGGGCTTCGGGGTACTGACCCTAAACCCTTAAAGCCATTTACGTAAAGCCTCCACTTGCGGAAAGGGGGCAGTCGCAGGGGTGGAGCCAGAAATCTGCTGGCTCTGGCGTGGATGGGTCGTCCAACACTAGGGCCGTCTGCCCGTCCTCCTCTTCCTCCTAGAAAGCTTGAGGCTTTATACTTTCAGGGTTTAGGGCCTACGGCTTGGAAATGGCTGCTGACGCTTCGGCCCCGAATGCGTCTTAGCGCCTCGGGGCAAAGACGATCTTGAAGTCGCTGGGTACGGGCTTCCGAACCAACCCTGCACCACCCCAGAAGGATGAGAAGCAAGATAAACTGAAGCTGTATCTAGGTAAGACCCCGGCCCCAGTTATTAAGTTACATGAACCCTCGGGCTTAGGCGGCTCTCCTTCATTTCGATGAATGCCAACTCCTTCGTGGAGCATTGCCTCAGGGCCTGCTGAACGGTGCCAGCCGCAATGCAATCCCGCTTGGATCCGCGAAGCTCGTAGATGCCCAATGCCTGCGAAGGACAAAGACGCTGCAGAACGGATAACTGCGGCTGTTGACATAGCTTTTCTCATCCTATTGGTCCATTGGTTCTACTTGTACAACGTTTTTCTTCTTCCCCACCACTGCGGAAGGCTCTCGTGACTTGGGGGGATGCAACATAAACCGAAAAGCGTTTTGGCCGACTTCTGAACCCCCGTCACGCTCTTAGCCTGCTCAACAGAAGCAGTATGGAAACCTCAAAATGACCCTAGACCCGTCAATAAGTAGTACGGAAATCTCACAAAAACCCTAAACACCAAAAACGTTCATAAGTAGAATGGAAACCTGAACCCCCGAACCATCAAACCCCTTCCCCCATTCGCCCCATCGAGCCTCGACCTCTCAGCCTCGAACCCAAGACTTCACTTCGGGTTCAGGGCTTAGGGCTTGGGGGCTTAGGGGCTTGGCGGTTTAGGGGTTTAGGGTTTGGGGGTTTCGGATTTAACGCTTAGCTCTTGACGCGAGAAAGGGAGCCTTGTCGACAAAGTCGTTGGGATCTGTATTGACGAGGACCCACTGGCCATCCGTGCAACCATCGTCGCCCTGGTCTGGTGTACTGCGAAGGGTGGGTTCCGGAGTTTGGGAGTGGGGACTCGGAGTTTAGAATTAAGCATTCAGGATGCGATGGCTTAGGAATGTGGGGTTCAAGGCTTTCTTTAGGATAGCTTGGATGTTCAGAGTTTAAGGGTTGAGGGTTGTCGATCACCCGGATCCCTGTGCAACTCTCCAACAGGCTATCCTAATAAGCAACAGGTACGAGAGTCGAAATGGTCACTGGTAAATACTACGTGCTCTGTATCATACGCGGAACGGCATCACCCCAACCCTAAACTCCTAAACTCCAAGCCCTAGCCCCCTGGGAACCCACCTGCGCCAGGCGAAGGTACCGCATGTCTTCTGGCGTTGCATGCTGCCGAAGATAGACGATGCCACCCTTCGCGACGTCCCTTCCAAGAGGACAGTACAGGCCGCCGAGGTACCAATCGGCGTTTGAGACTGTCATACCTGAGCTAAGCGGTTTAGGGTTTAGGGTTTCAGGGTTTAGGGTTGTAGGGTTTAGGAATGCACGACACATCGTCTCAGTCGCAGAACCTCTGCCGTGCCAACCTTTTCTTTGCGTTCCAGAGCCAACAGACCACTGCAGGAACAGCATCTTCCACTGTCACTCCTTATGCCTGTGAAAGGTTTCATAGGGCTTTGCAACGGCACATGAGGGTGTCCATAAGGCTTCTTACACTGCTTCACACCAACTGCATCTGGGAAACAGGTCCCCTCGTTGGTGCAATTGGTGACCTTGGCCGTGACGGTCACCATTTGCCCATCCGAACGCACGTCAAACCTGTCGAAGTCGCAGGCTCGGGGTGTAGAAAGCTTAGGGCGACTGTTACCAGAAGGGCTCGACACAGGATCTTCGGCGTCAAGACCTAAGGTCCGTGGGTTCAAGGTTTGGGGCTTCAGGGGTTCACGGACTTATGGATTCAGGGCCCCCGAGATCCAAAGAAGGACAGACCTGGCAGCTTCTCACTTGCCAAAAATGGGGCTAAAACTCTGAACACAGAAGCCTGACGGGAAGGCAGACATAGACCGAAGTACGGTTGCGGATCACCCCACTTATATGGCCCTACTTGCTAAGTCCCCCGGTCCTTTGAGGAGAGGCTGGCTCATGGACAAAGCGCAAACCGTAGCTGCAACACTCAAACTGGCAGAATGATGACTCGTAGACCCGCAAGAACCCATACACCCTCCGAAGCCATTTCCAACCGCACCGGCTCGAAAGCTGGTATTGTTAGGGCTTATGGGTTTAGGGTGTAGGGCTTGCGGTTGAGGGTTTGGTCCTGAATTCTTGCTGGGGTTGTTTTCAAACACACCCAGTCCGGTCCAAAGACATTGCATGGAGAAAGACAGATCGATTCCATGTCAGCCAACCCCGGAAGATTCAAACCGAAACCGCAAACGTTAAATCGGCCCTCAACCCTGAAGCCAAATGGGTGGTTGTCAAAATTAGGGTCGCTTTTTTGGGTACCCTAAATAATACGTGCCGTAGTATTTTCAGGACCCAAAACGGGACCCTAATTTTGACAGCCACCCAAATCCCGAAACCCCAAGACAATTGCACCTCTCACAGCGACTGTCGAACTTGTAGTTCGCACATGTCTCGTCGGCCCTGCAACGAGCCCTGCACTGAGCCTGAGTGTAACGGGCTGCAAGCGAGGGGTGGAAAGAGCTTCGGGGCTTGTAAGGATAGGCGGCTTAAGGGCTAGATTGTAGGGTTTCGGGCTTGCGACCACAAGTAAACCACTCAACCACCTACTGACACTTCGAAGACACCAGTGGTCGCCTTAGCTCAAGACTCGAACGTCCCAAATCGGAAAGCTTAAACAGCACACAGAGCATCCAATATTGCTAGAAGCCCCAATGATCCTAAAATATAGTATACGGCGTTGTTATATAGTCTACTACTTTTTGTCTTGCGATACTATGCTACAGTACACTACATGACAATACATTGTCGCATATTCTACTAGGTGTCATGACTTTATGCTGTATTGTATTGTGCTATAGTGTTCATATCTCGACTAAATGTATCATATAGCGTACTATCTTATCGTACCTTATGCTGCAGCATGCTGTAACATGTTGGATGATGATGTCTACTATAGAATTGTACTATACTACACTACAATAAGCTGCACTACAGTATACTGCAAGATACTGTATCATGATGTACTCTGCTTTCTTATAGTAGGGTTTCGTATAGTATAGTATAACATAGTATAGTACAGTAGACTATAGTAAAGTAAACTGCGGTATACCATGAAATACTATTGTATATTGTACAGTCCTATATAGCCGTAATGCGATGTGTCAGACTGTACTCTACTATATAACTTGTGTGTATGTGTATATATATATATATATACATATATATGACATATATATATTGTATATTATATGTTATATGCTACATATTATGCATTCTATGTTGGCTGCTAAATTATGAACTTTACATAATTTGCATTACACCACACTACATTGCATTAGATTATATACTGTACCCAGCCGGCGCAGCCTCGGAACTGGCTGTGGCATCTGGCACAGATACGGCCTAGGCAAGGTTTAGGTGAGGCTTAGATAAGGTTTAGGTAGGGTTTAGGGCTTAAGTTTGACGATGCAGAATGCAAAATGTTTAACATTGCCGCACGACTCGGGATTTTGTGGTGTTTACGCCTTATGCATCTAAAGGAAGCCTCAACGGAGCCGCCGGTTTTACATACCCCGCCGAGAAGCCTGTCATAGTGCTTCCAAAAGCTTCCATAATGTCGATGCTATGGGAGTGCTATGCGACCAATGGCTGTTTGGCGAGTCCAGGAGATTCTGCCAAACGGCCGCCCTGTAAGGCTTGAACATTTCTCTACAAGTCATTCGACCAGAGCCAGACATGCCCTTCAAGCCTCGATAAGAACCCTGCTTATAGAGAATATCCAAGTCTCGGGTACCTGCATCCGACTGTAACCTTCGAAACCCGAGTAGGAGTTTGTGAGTAAACTGTGTGAGTCCCGAAGCCCTGCTTGAGACATTGCCAATTGCCTCCGCTGACACAACAAGCCCCGCCGACGACTGAAAACGACTGCTGGCAGAGACCAACAAACCGCTGACGAGCTCGCAAACCCGCCGGAAGCTTTGCGTGGCTCATTGTTGGGATTAGTTTGGGCAACCTGCGCACCGTCGCCCAGTGAACTGGCTTGTCTGTACTGTGAGACTCAATAGCAGATGGCAAACAGAAGGACTTACCTGTGGTTAGTAGGGAATGGAGGAATGGGGTACAATTATAACTACTATTACTACCATTCTTCCATTCCCTGCTAACCAAAGGTAAGACAGAGGAGTTTCCGCCACTGGCACCGTGGGACTGATTCTTGGACCGGGTAGATTTCTTACTTTCCCAGTGTATAGTAAGGGGACTCTTCTCTTACGGACTCCGGTATGGACTTTGCAGGCTTCTCGGAGGACCTGTGTTTTGAAGGATGAGGGTGTCGGATTCCGGATTGCTCGGCAATCGCACCCCTAAACGCCAGATCCCGAGTGCTTACAGTAAGCCTAAACACTAATGCGCCTAAGCCCCAAACCCTCAACTCCAAACGCTACACCCCACATCTCCCCGCCTTGACGCTCTGCGGCACCCAGCAAACGGTATCTTGCACTTCGATGGACAGGGAGGTCTCCACCTTTGGCCGGTTGTGTTGAAGCCCTGGCGAAAGAATTTCAATCTGAAGCCCCCGGCCCCTCTAGATAAGACATTCCCTTCGTTAGGATTTCGGGCTTCGGGTTTAGGGTTTTGGGGGTTGGGGTTTAGGAGTTGAAGTTTCAAGCAGTGCTATCTTCGATTTCTCATCCGGGGAAACGAAGTCCGGCAAAACGACAGCATGGGCGCAACAATCCTTGTCATGTAAGGGCCTCACAATTGGCATACGGTTTGGGGGCATGGTATAGCGTAACTATGGTAAGGAACCCTAAACAGTGAGGTTAGTAGTTGTTCAGGCTAAACATGCCAAGCGCAGACCAAAGAAGCTGAGCTCTATCGACACACCAACCTGTGCTTTCAAGCCACCGGGGGAAGTGCAGGATCAGGGAAGATGCCGAAGACTCGGCAATCCAGCGTTACAGCCTGCTGCAAAGATATGGTCCTGTAGCTTGGTTGCTGACTTCACCGGAAAAAGTCCACGAAATGAACTGCTCCCAGGGCCTGCAATGGCCCTAAGCCCCAGACCGGGAAAACCCACTGAACTCACCTAACATCACCCAACCATCGAAATTGTATTTAAAATCCGAAGCCTGGAATGCCTTCGAGTTCCGGGTCTTGGCTTCGGGCGTTATTCGGATCTTTGGGTTGAGGGCGTCGGGGTCTCAGGTTCAGGGCTAGTCGTCGGCAGGCGTCTCGAGGCTCGAACTATTTTTGTTTATGAGTATTAATGTGGTTGTGATAGCCAGAGTTGTTGTGATGTGTGGTAAGTCATACCGTCACAGGTGATGTTGCTATCTTGACTATACCCGTCGTTGATATCTGTATTACACCACATCATTGCCATCATTGCTGCTACTGTGGCTTTCCTTCACGAACTCTGGCCGCAAACATGGCCAACCTCGTCTAGCCCTCAGCTCTGGTCTCTCTTTTGGATCATAGTGAAAAGCCATCTCCCCCAACTTGCTCGAGCTTTGGGGGGTTAAGGGCTCCAGAGTTTCGCGTTCCGGTAGGTCCGGGTCTTCGAAGTTAAAGGTCTTGTATGGCAGGTGTTGGACCTCCCACGTTTGGTTTGAGCCCATCACGCTTTAGGGCATTCTATTTTCCAATAACAATAACATTAATAATAAGAAAAAGAATAATAATAATAATAATAATACTAATACTAAGACTAAGACTAAGACTAAGACTAAGACTAAGACTAAGACTAAGACTAAGACTAATACTAATACTAATAATTATCATAATAACAATTGTAATAATATACTATGTCAAGGAGAAGCTGGCCTTCCTCGCAGAACCAGCTGCAACGACCATTTGATCGAATAGACCGCCTTGGCTGCTTGCGCAACTGGAGGTTTAGGCCTAGGATGCCTTAGGTGCAGACCGGGCAGCAGAACTGGAAAAGATTAATCACGTTCGGAACGGAAGCCGTGAACACAAGACCCCTAGAACCACAACGAATAAACGATCAAACCCAACCCATAAACATGAAACCCTAAAAACCCTAAAGACTCTGGTAGCAGTAGTAGTAGTAGTAGTAGTAGTAGTAGTAGTAGTAGTAGTAGTAGTAGTAGTAGTAGTAGTAGTAGTAGTAGTAGTTAGTAAGAGTAATAATAATACTTATTTCATATTTTAGTAATAGTCGTCAAACTCCCTTAGCTGCAGCTCGCAGGGCCCAGGGATGGAGACGGAGCCACGGTGATCTCCCCCTCTGGGCCAATGTCGAGGATGGGATGACCCGCAAGGAGACCTCTGCGGGATATAGATTATGTGTTTGTATGCATCATATACACATATACATTCGGAAAGACTTTCAGGCTTTGGGGGTTCGGGGTTTTCTTCGTCTGGGTTGTACTAGGGCTGCGCGATTTGAGGGTTTGGGCTTTAGCGGCTTCAAGGTTTCAAGCCCCAGAGCCCGTAAAAACCGTCGAGCCCGAACGATGGAAGCGCAGGGAGCTCGAGCATCTCGATTCAAGAAGACCCCGAAAGCCTAACTCCAGTAAAAAGCCCAGGTAACCCCGAACCGCTATACCCTAAAGCCTGAGACCTTACATGACAGGCGACCCATACTCAAAACGCGGTCAAAGGAGAACTTCACTTGGGCGTCAGCGCCACTGACGTCACATGCCATGTTGTAGGTCCTGGGCGAAATACCAGCCAGCCCTTTCGTTAGTCTTTTGGGCCAGGGTTGCATAGAAGTATTATATAAACCCTACAGTAGAGGCCAGAAAGTTGGAACATGGCTTTAGGAGGATTAGTGCCAGGAGCCCTTATACTTTACCTTAAGGGCATGAGGACAATGATGTTCCAACTTTCTGGCTTCTACTGTAAACCCTAAAAAGGCACTAAAGTTGTTTATTGTGGAGCCCTGATCACTGCCATCGGGGCTTCGGGCTTCCAGTGTACGGAGTGCACTACAATCTGACACCACCAGAGTCGCAGAGCGGAGCTTGTTTTGGGTTCTGGGTTTAGGGCACGGTTTAGGGTTTAGGGTTGGCCTTAGCATCTAGTATATACGACTTTTTACCCTACCCTGAACTCTCATCCCACAGCTTGATTTCAATGTTCTGCAAACCCTAAGGCCCTCCACCCTCCACCCCCTGAACGGAAACCTTCAAAACCCCGCACCAGTAGACCCTAAACCCCAACACCCGCACCCAAACCCGTGAACCAGTAATCCGTAGCAGCTAGGACTGAAACCCGAGACCCCAGACCCTCAAACCCGAACCCCTACAAGCATGACCCCGGGACTTTCAACCGTCAGTCAAATGCCGACCCTAGATCCCCAAACCGTAAAGCCTAAATGTCAGCTCTCAGACCCTTGCTTACCCTGTAATCCCTCTCAACCACCACCAAGCAGCCATGGCTTCATTAGGCCCTGCTCGGTGTGGGATTTCGGCAGGAGCGGATGCAGCTCCTTCAGCGTCAGGGCTCGGATGTCGGGTTCGGGCTGCGGAAAGCAAGGAACAAGGAATTAAGAGAAGAAAGGCCCTAGGACCAACAGGTTTCCTGAGGACGAGGCTTTGCGGGTTGCCAAGAGAGCTTTACGTTTAGAGTTCAGGGTTTAGGGTTCAAGGTGTGATGGTTCAGGGCTTAAGGTTTAAGGTCTCTGGCCTAGCTCAGCCCACACGAAACCCTCACAACCTGGATCTAAAATCCTGAGAACCCTGAACTGGCGCAGCTCTGAGGCCCTCCAGTACCCCCTAAACCACTGAGCCCCTACACAACCGAAACGCGTAGACCCGGAACCCACAACCCCCAAGAGACAAACAAACTTGGCACAGGGTGGCCGTTTGGAAGGGGCGCACTCCGGTCTGGGCCTAGTCCTATTGCATAGGAGCTCCTCTCCAATGCTAACGGCCACAGCAGCGAGGTCGTACCTCAAAGAATCTTCGTGCAAGAAAGCTTGAAAAGGCGTCTTTGTTCGGGTTTAGGGTTTAGAGTTTAGGGCAATAAGGGCTTAGTGTGTGAGGGGGGAAGGTCCTTCGCCTACAACACTTATTGCCTTCAAGGCGTCGCCGCAAGCAACTCAGGAATTACGAGATTTTGGAAGGCTGCCGCTAAGCTCTTCCGAAGGGATACCCCCACCAAGCCTGACGTACCCTCAGGCTCACGGGACCTCACATGCTGAGATTTTCATTTGCCATCCCAAGAGCCCGAAACCACAAAGACCGAGACACGCCGAACCAGAGGGTTTAGGGTAAAACCTTGTAAGCCACAAACCTAAAACACTAACAAACCCTAGATGCCAGATGCGCGCGAACCCTCGAGCGGAAGCGATGTCTCGCGCCGCCCTGTCTAACCACCACTCACACCCCCCAAACACGTCGAGTGAAAGGCCGTCGCCGAGATGCTCAAATGCGGACCATGGTCGTGGCCGAATCGACACGAATGACGCCTTGTGCCTGGATTTGAGTTGTTGAACGGCGGTAAGTTCCACCAAAAAAATAAGAACCTAACAATAATAATATTATTGTGATAATACTAGTTATAATAACAATACGAATGGTAATTAAGAACCTTGTAAGGAATACTAACACCAACTGTTTAGCCTCTTGGGCTAGAGCTTGGGGAAAAAGGTTCAGGGTTTAGGGTCTACGAGTTTGGGGCTTGGGTTCAGGGCTTCCCTTGTCAAGCCCAAACACTGGAAGCTTGGAGTTTCATGATTCGGAGTGAACTGTTCTGGGCTTGCGGTTCTGGGGGAGGCGTGACCTCTCTTATATGCCTACCCTGACATTACTACAAGTCCATAAAGGCTACTTACTACAATGGTGTTACTTTGAGCTTGCAAAAAGTGCTAGTAACCGTCACTTACTACAAGGTGATGACTGTAAGTTTGCTATAAGATCTATAAGGGTTACTTTACTGCAAGCCTGTGCTGTGAAATTGGCGGCACGTTTCGGGGCTGTTGTCTCGTGGACGTGGGTCTCGGGATTCTCGGCCTTTGCATGAAAGGGTTGCGGCAAATCTTCCCAAATCCCGACTCCCTGCATGCGCCGAAGAGAAGGCAGTGTCATCACCATGCAGTTGCAGATGCTGCTGCTGATAATGATGATGATAAGTTATTGCTGTATGGTTACTGCGCGGTTCAGGGTTGAGGGGATTAGACCATCGACACAAAACATTGAAACTGATGCGAAGTGACTGCTTCTTGGCCTGCCATGCGGTGACGGCGCAGACTGCCCCATCCTGGCGCTAGAACTTCCCGAAATCCTAAAACCTGAACTCTAAATCTCAAAACCTATGAAACCCCAAAACCCTAATCCCAAACCCTAGACCCCGAACCCTAAACTGCCCTGAACCCCAATTAAAAACTCTAAACCCTTAACCCCCGTCCTGGCCGTAGAACTTGTCGTCTGCCACGGAGATGCCACCAGCCGCGGAGCCCTGCGGCAAGAAGCTCAGGGCCCCCGTCTGCGCATCGATACCCAACCAAGCCACCTCAGGAGCCGTAGGGTTAAGGGCAGTTTAGGATCTATAAGGTGGGGTTTAGGGTTTATGGTTTTGGGATAGGGGTTTACAAGGTTTGGGCTTTAGAGCCTTTAGAGTTTAGAGAATCATGAGGTTGCCTCACAAGAAGGAAACTAGTCCAGGATTTCTTTTGGGAAGAAGACCTCCGGAGCACAGCCCAGCTCGAACTTGGACCAGCCAGCGCCCGTGACCAAAGGCACCTCCGGGGCGGCGCCGGAGTGGAAGAGCAAGGTGGCGGAGCTGTAGCTGAGGAGATCCGCCGCCACCGTAACGACGGAGGCCAAGATCACCCCTGGGGCCTCATGAGCCGTGACCTCGCATTCGAAGGCGAAAGCCTCCAAGGGCTTCGAGCGGCCGGGCATGTAGAAGATCTTCCCTGTGCTGCTGTCCATGGTCAGGTTGTGCATGGCCAGCTCACACTGGGCATCCACGGTGTAGCGCTCGGCAGTCCGGGGCTCGGGCATCAGGACAATCTCTGAGTCAAGCGACCAACGCCGACTCGGGTAGGAGAAAGGCGTGGGCGTCACCACCCCACCGCCACATTGGCAGCAGGCCTCCTTGCTAGACTGGCCCCTCACCTTCACATCATTGCACTCGGAGGCCTCAAGCTGAAAACAGGACTTGCCATCCTGGCTCAGCCAGCCACCGGCACTCGAACAGGCTGTGCACGCGCCTTCCCGAAGTAAGAAGCCTTCCGCACAACTCTGGCACTTACCCTGGGAGTAGGAGGAGCAACCGGCACAGGCTCTGCTGGAGACCGGGCAGCAGCTCTGAGCCACCCCGCTCACCGAGAAGTCCATCAGAGCCACTTCTTCAACGCCACAAGCCTTGCTTGAGGCCTGTCGTGTTCCGATTTGCGAGAGGCCTCTTGTAGAGCTCTCGGCCGGCGTGTTGCCTTCACGGATCAAACCAAAGATGCAGGTGTACATATATATATATATATATATATTTCCCATGTTCGTTCCTCGGACTCGCCAACAAATGGTGTGTTGCTTGGGCGGTTTAGGTTAGGATATCGCGCTATTGTGGTTTTCACTCTGGCTGTCTTATGACCCAAGAAGCCTCTCACACTCTTGACGAAGCTCCCCGATCGCTTGCATTGGCCGCGAAGCTCGGAGCTCTCGTTGTGGAACTGTTCGAGCAAGGCGGACATGGTGGGGCTGAAAACAGGGCCGAGCCCAGACGCTGCCGAATCCACACTGCTCTTCGTGCTACTGCGTAGCCGTCCGACTTCCGCCTTAAGGCTGCCATCCTCCTCCTTCAAGTCTGCAAGCTCCTTCCTGGAGTCCTGGAGCTCCTTCTGCAAACTCAGGTCCCTCTTCTCCAAGCGCGCGACCCCCTCCTCCAAGCGCTCCACGACGCCCAGCACGCTCTCCAGCGTCGCCTCGTCTCTGGTCGACCCGTCTCTGCGCTCCCGCCGGGCCTGCAGCAAGCTCGGGGCCGCCGCAGCGCAGGCGGGGCTCCCCTCGCAGCCGCTCCCGGGCGGTACAGCGCCCAAGGCGCTCAGGGCGGAGAAGGCGCAGAGGCACAGCAACCGCCGGGCTGAGCTTCTCGTCATGTCGGCCCCCTTAAAGGAGGGCCGGAACGGTAAGTAAACGGCGAAGATGTTTGACTTTCGGCTCTATCGAGCCACAACTGCAAAGATGCACAGCGAGATCTCAAGCTGACGAGTTTGAACCTGCTGTGCCAAAACCTTTTCCTTACATGAGCTGCTGCATATCCCTCGACGGATCTGCTTTTCTGAGGCAGGACTCTTTTGATTCCCGGCAGACGTCACGGGTTTGTGGAAAGGCAGCCGTCGAAGCCGTGCCGCCTGGGCAAGAGGAGAGATCTGCTACCGTCTCCACACAGGATGAAGGCTACAGCTGGCTGCAAGTGCTCGGGGTGCGAAGCAGCACCGCAACAAACAACTCCCAAAACATGACAGCATCCTCTCGCTCTAGCAGCTCTAGCGTGCAACAACATGGCACTGTTTTTTTTGCGCTTTCGTGTAGGTTTAGGGTGATGCGTTGAGGAGTTGAGGGCCAGGACCGGAAACCTGGTGCGAAAACATACAGCGGTGGCCTGCAGAAGCCTGCAGAAGCCTGCAGATTCAGCAGGATCAATGGTGTTCTATTCAAATCCCGAAACGTGCAATCCAGGCCCCAGAAGCCTTGCTCTCACTGCGAGCTGGAAACTGCGCGCGTTTTTTCAGCTGCGCTTGTAATCCAAACTCCAGCTGGCCGTAAAGCAATATCAATAGGCATGCAAAGCCCGATCATGCGGCTGCGGTTGCCGACCGTGCTAAGGAGGTCAAGCAGGGACGCGGTCAAAAATATGCTCACCTTGGAGACACGGCCCAACTACAAAGGCCTCCTCGCAAGCGCAGTGCTTGTCACTACAGCTTGCGAGCTCGAGCGTCCTACTCACCTTGGCATGTGGGAACCTGAACCTGGCTTCGAAATCGAATTCTCAAGACTTGATTGGCTCCTTCATCTCCCCCACCACTTCTTGCGCCCGTAGTAACCCTTGGGCGATGGCGATGGGGAAGGGCTCGGACTCGGATCGGGATCGAACGTGCTGTCCACTTCTTGGATCCACTGGATGTATCCTTGCAACGTGATGTTGTAGTTGTCCTTAAAGTAATCCACGGCGTTAGTGGAATCTTGATCGTACATGTAGGCATAAGGGACAGAAGGCACAATTGGCACAATGGCGTTTTCGTAAATGTCCCAAGTACATGCGGGCGACTCGGTCGAGCAATCGGAGGTTGGCACGAGCTCCAGTGTGTAGCCATTGCTGTAGAGCTGTGGGGAGATCCAGTCAAGATTTGGATCTGCAAGCCAACCCTGAACGACCAGGGCGGCAATGCAGTTGGTACATCCCAAAGGCGCACTGTGGCTTGTGGTAATTCCAACCATGAGGCCGGCGGCCGACAAGTTTGCAGTGGCTCCGTAAAAGTCCTCTATGAGGTCTGCGGAAGTCGACTCTGCCTCGACATACTCCGAATCGAAGATGACCCCATCGAAGCCTGCTGATCGGATGCTTGCAGCTAGGCCCACTGTACCACTCAAAACCGTCCTGTCCGTGGTCGTACCAGCTCCTCCGACCGTCATCCACTTCGTGCAAGTAACGTCAGAGCCACTGCAGATGTAAGGAATAACGCCCTGGGAAATGCAGTAGTTCAGGTTGGTTTGGGCATCTGTGTATCCACTGAAACAGATTCCCATGGTTTGGTTTTCTGGTCCAGGGATGGTATCTGACACTCCATTCCATGCCCAAGCCCAATAGCCGATCATCAAGTCCCGCTTGGACCTCTCGGACTTTCGCACTTGCACCACTGCACTTTCCTCACACTCTCCGCTGGGGCATGACGCGAAAGCAAGCGCCGCCGGAAGGAGCGCCAAAATCAAGGCTTTGACCATGTCGCCACCTGCCGCTCTCTTTGAAAACCTGTAAGAACGAACAGTGCTTGAGCCAGGTCTGAGGATGTTGTCACAGCCAACGCATCGCAACCTGCCCAATGCTCTGCTATTTCGACAAGACTAGATAGCTGTGCAGGGGTTGGCAGGTAGGCGGGCAGGCATGTAGGTTGGTAGGTGGGCAGGGTGGGTCGGTGAGTAGGTGGGGTAGGTGGGTTGGTGCAGGTGGGTTGGTGGGTCTGGAGGCAGGCAGGTAGGTAGGTCGGTCGGGGGAACAGGTGGGTGGTGTGGCATTTGTGATCATGTGTGCTTTGCTTCTGTATGTATGCATGCATGTAGACATGTTGACATGTAGACATGTAGGTACGCAGTTATGCATGTATGCATGCAGCATGCATGTATGAGTGCGAGAACGTCTTTGTTTATGACTCCGATATGACAATATGTAACTCTGTATATGTTGCCTATGGTAAGCCGTGTTGTGAAGGCCTCGGGCGTGTCGGCCCAGGCCGACAAAGGACAGCAATAAACGAAACCTGACTCATCAGAGTCATTCAGAAAGCATCAGAAGTACAAGAACAGCAAACTTTGCACATTCGGTACCATTTGCACCCGGCTGGTTCGCCAGGTTCGGAACCATCCTCCGTGCTGCATAAAGGATCTTGTGTCCGGGTAACTTCACGAAGGCCAGAAACAGCCCAATTCTGCACAGCCCGAAGAGAGACTTGGAACCTCAAAACCATGCTGCAGGCTTGCTAGGCCAGTGCAAGGTGCGGCTTGGCGGCTAGGTTGAAGTTGGACAGGGCAATGGAAGGTAGCAAAGAGCTGCTGCAGTCGGGCCAGCATTATTGGCGGAGCAATCGATCATGCTCGCATCACCGTCAAAGTACGTACAGTTCGATTCGACTGTCACAACATCGAACACAAACGAAGGGTTTCCAGCCACTGATCCTCGGCTCTTCTTCGGATGCTTCGAGGCTGTAACGGTTCTGCCACAGGGGTTCTATGATGGTTGTAACCCTAAACCCTAAACCCTAAAGGTGTGTACTCGAGAAGCTTCGTGTCCCGCTGAGGGTTCAGTCAGCCTTATAGCAAGCTGCATTCTGCATACAGTAGTACAAGAGCCCTGCCACATGCATATCAACGGAAGCTCACCCCTACGACTGAAGCCCCAACCAGACAACAACAGCTTGTCGTTAACCTTCTTAGATCAAGGGGCAGACTGACCCTGACTCCAGACCTCTTCCTAGATGTTCAACACCGTGCTTGAGCACCCAAGTACGCGATGAAATCTGAAGACCCAATGTTACAGAAAGCCTCAAATAGATCAAGGAGCCCGGCATGGTGTTGACACATGGGGGCGCGCCCAAACTGGCCACGGCTGCAATGATGGCAGCGGAGCTGTTGATGGCTGCCATCAGCTCCTCGGCTCCCAAAATTCAGGAAAGCTAGTGAGGTTCAAATTTCGAGCTTGGGATACAAGGTTTAAACGGTTTGAGGGTGTTATATCTCCTTGTGACCCCAAGCAAAGTGCAAAAGACCTGTTGCTCGGCATCACAGGAGCTTTGTTGCATTGACCGGCACACAAGGTATCACAGCTTTCACCTGCCCGTGCCCAGGAACCCGACTTACTGTACTTCATTCTGCTACTATCCGACACGGTTTGGGGAGTCAGACATGGATCATGCCTGGCTCCCCAGACCCCCGCCCCAGCCTCCGGACGAAGCCACCAATACAAAATTGAGAGTGGTGGTAGTTGTGGTGCTCGGAGGGATTGTGCTGGGAACTGTTGTGCTCGGAGTTGTGCTCGGAGGGATTGAAGTGGGCTTGTAGTAGTGATATCTGGAACGACGCCCACGTCTAAACCACCAGCCACCGTTTTCCGATTTCCCTCCCTGCGAGATCACCCCGGTCTTCTGCGCCGGCACGGCCGCTTGGAGCAGGCACGCCGAGTCGTCTGCGGCTTCGCATAAGAGTGCTACGAGGCCCGAAAGCCCCAAGCGCATGAAAGGATGCATGGCCACACCCTACGCTCCGACGCTCCGACGATCGCTGGGGCCAGGGCGAGCCTTTAACTTGAGCAAAGGCAAAGCTGCAAAGCTGCAAAGTCGCGGCGCGCACAGGGTCCACACACGTGACCGGCGCCCCCATCTACTGAACCCCGCGACCTCGCGGCCCAAAAAACCCCTTGCAACCTTAAACCTCACACCCCCATCGGCCCCATCGAGCCGAAACCCTAAGCCCTAAACCCTATCTGCGGAAACCGATATCCTGAGTTTTCCAGTGCGAAGGCCGAAGGCCTGCTCCGGGAGCTTTTCGGCACCGGCCGCGGGGCGCCGGAGTGCCTCGGATCCCGAAGATCAAAAGAGAGCAAGGGTTCAGAAGCTCGGGGAGTGGAGAGAGCAGAGGCCTTGTTTCAGGTTCAGGGTTGTTTTTTATGGACCCTTTTCATTTAAAAAAAAAAAAGGTTCAGGGTTTCGGGTTTAGGGTTTGGCTCTGTGGGATTTGGATCCTACGGTTTGGTGCGGGTTCAAAGATCTTATCTGGGACTTTGGATTTAGGGTTTGTGGGTTGTTGGATGTACGGCTGAGGATGTCGAAAAACCGATGTTGAAGCTTCGAGCCGAAATTATCGCTTCGCACGCCTCTGGTAAGGAGGGCTTGCCTAATCTAGGTGGAGCCACAACCTCATCCTTCAGGGGATTCATGCCGTGTACTGGCTTCGAGTTGTATCAAGGCTATAGGGTCCATTGGTTTAGGGTTTAGGGTTTAAGGTTGTCGAATCCTTCGGAAGTTGCGGCTTCAGGGTTGAAGGATGTAGATGATCTTGCGTTTAATGGGTTTAGGGTTTAGGGTTTAATGGGATATGGAAGTACAAGGTGGGGAAGACGACAGCGAGCGAGCCTGGGATTTAGAGATCTTGACGGATCAGTAGATGTTTGAAGCCTTGTTCGGTTTGGGGAATCCCAGAAGGCTACGGCTTAGGGTTTAAACTTAACACTTGCAATGCCCGCATTCATGCAGAGCCTGAATCCAGAAATCAAAACTTCGCAGGAAAGGGCTAACACAATCGAGTTCCGCTGTCTTAATCTACGAGGACGCAGCAGAGCAAACCAGCAACTCTCTGCGGAAACGGAAAGCGGGACACATGCGACGGAAGCAACACCGGACATGAGCACAAGCGGCGTCTAGCCAACCCTTGTTTGACAACTCTGGCAGGACATGGCGGAAGGGCAGAGCAGGGCAGAGTAAGGTGCCAAACCCCGGCCTAGGCCCCATCCAGACTTGAGCCTTGCCGACTGTTGGTTTGAGGATTGCCGGCTCACGCTTGAGGGTTGCCGACTTAGATTCGAAAGATTGCGCGATCTCGCAATCTCGATTCTGCGTCTTGCAAGGCTGAAACCTAAGTCGGCTAAGCCCAAATCTAAGTCGACAGAGCTGAAGTCGGGGCCAATTCAGCTTTGCCGACTCAGCTTTGAGCCTTGCCGACGAGGTCACTAACCTGTGAGCTACGACGAGCAAGAAAGGGTTTTGTGTGCAGGGCTTGGGGTCTTGGGTCTACAAAGAAGTACTTTAGTTATTGTATACCAATACCAAGTCTGAAACGACTTGGAAGAATACGCACCTGTCCACTGACGGCAACATTCCGAGAGCTAATTTTGCAAACCCTCCAGGCCTCGCTGACAGCTCAGCGCACAGCGCATGGCACACATCCGCAAACCCGCGCCTATGCCCAGCTGTGCCTACCCCAACCCTATTGCAAAAGAAATGAGGCACTTCATACATGCAGAGTTCATGTTGCATCTTGTCTGTCAGCACACACGTGGGGGTGAAACTTGAAGCATGAGCTCGGTTGAACCAGGAACTTGGTGGGTCAAGGTTGGCAATACACATGGTGGAAACGTCTACTAAGGCTTGAACCTTTGGCAATGCAAGAACTATTCAAGACCATAAACATACACATCGCAACCCATGCATTCATTACTTGTAACTCACGTTCAATCGCGGAATCGGCGGTCGATAAAGTGGCGGCCAAAGGATCTTAGGGTAAATACAGGCATGTGAGGCTCACGACAATGCTTCCCAGCAATGCTGAGCTGGAGGCTTGCAACCATGTTTCCTATCAATGTCGAGCACGCGGAGTGGGCAGAAACCTTAAACGGAACAACAGTAAAGCAACGGTTTTCCAGGGAAGCACCATCATCAATCATGGGGTGCATCGAGTACTGCTGACAGTTTAGCACCACACGTTCACTTTCCGATGACTTCACTCAAGAACGACAGTGGCATCTCCTTGCATCCTGCCTTGCCTCCCAAAGCCTCCCCAGTGCTGAAGGAAGTCTCAGCTAAGGGTTTAGGTGTTCAGGGAGTTTAGGGGCGATCTCGCTGCAAAGCGAGTGGCAACATGATACCATGGAAGACGGAGAAGGTGGTGGAACAGAGTCAGGGCCAGGTGTGGCGCCATGCAGGCTTCTTGCTATTACAGATCGAAACAGGTGGCGTGGTTCGTGTTGTTGGAGGTAACAACACACACACCACCATGATACCATGAAGCTCACAGGCAGGTGAGATCGCCTGGTAGCGCCAAGATTGCCAAGTCCCGATCCGAAAGCTCGCAACAAGTCAGGAGCAGGGCCAGGCTGCAAGCCAGAAATCACGCGAGGCTCTCCCCTTTCTTTGCTGCCTTGGATTGTTTGTAGGCGAGAGCCATTTGGCTGTGGAGGCAACAGCCGCTTCACGGCTGGCCAATGGTGACAAGAAAGGACATGTGCTCATGTATTCCGTGCCTCCTCTATATACAGAAGGATGGTCCATGCAGCCTGAACTCTTCGAGATTCTGAGTCAACGCTGCGCCGCGCTAGAAGATCTCGTCTGGAAAAGCAGAACATGGCTGGTGTGAGCTGAGACGCACGAAGCAGTAGTGCCGGGCTGCCGAAATAACATGCTGCATTACAGAATGCTGCATATTCTTGAAAAGCAAAAAGAGCTTGAAATTGGACACACAGAGACACACCTAGCTAGAGCGATAAGTTGCAGCTGGCTGGGCAGAAGCTCGGAAGAGCCCCCCCAGAGGATGCAGTGCAACCACAGCTCTGCGGACAAAGATGGGCCAACGGCCGGAAGAGATCCGGCATACCCTCACACCACTCAACATCCATGATAGCATCTGTTGGAAACTCGATCAGTGCCTCACGCCCTGCAGATAGCATTCTCTCCACTGTCTGAGCCACAACGACCTCCAAGTTGGCCTGCGCCCCCTCCCCGAAATATGCCCTCGCCACCACGGGATAGAGCGACCAAAAAGCCTGCCAACCATCGCTCGTCACCTTGGGTTTCTTTTCGGGGCGGAAGCAATGCAACCCTGCACTTGTAGAACCTAGGACAAGGGTCTATGAACCAAGCCATTGAATATTTAGGAATGCCTCAGCAAACAAAGCAAGTTTGTGAGAACAAGGGGAGAGAGGGCAGCCTTGGCGCAAGCCCTTTGTCTGCACACGTCGGTAAGAAAGTAGAGCATCCCCTACAACGAAGGTATGTGAGTCGTATAGAGACATGACAAGACCACATCAATAATGCGAGGGTGCCAACATAGATCACAGCAGAGCTTATGGGAAACAATATAGCAGAATCGAAAGCCTCGGGCCAATATACAATCAAAAGAAGGTGAAATGAGGTAAGGCTGTCTTTCATTAGCATCAAACAAATGTCGGATAATGTAGATGGGCTGACTCGCAACATGATTCTCCTAATTTGAAACTGGGCAGGTCATATCCGGTCATCGACCCACGAGGAGAGACGGACGCCGGAACAGACTCACACTACGCACCAACCCAGGATGCTCGAGTTTCGATGGTTAGTGCGCAAGCACTTATCACGGGGTAGCTAGAGCTACAAGTCCAGAACACCTTTTAGAGTGTGTTGCCCCACCCCTTCTGAGATACAGTAGAATCTAAACCATGTGTCTCTAACAAGTTGTCCACAGCATTGCTTTCTGCATCCCTGAGCACAAGTAGGAATGAGCAGGAAAATGCTGCACATACACCAAACATAGTCCAGTCACAGTCACCACCGTGACTAGGCCTGTGCAAGGTCCTTGCAACCACGTGTTCACACCGTGATCAACAACAACACATACAAATAAATACAGGCACTACTGTACATGTTGCACGGGCTTGAAGACACAAGACTTCTTCCGCTCCAGGCCCCAGACCAGCTGACTGCCAAGGCCAGCAAGTCTGGGCATTGGGCAAACTGGCCTCCTGAAATGAAAGCGCAAGGTGCTGTTGGCTCGTGCACCAGAAAGCTCGAGATTGAGTCGAACTTCACTGCTTTTTCCCGCACCGCGAAGAGTTCTTCGTCGAAAAAATGCAGCCTCGAAGAACTCCACGGCCACTCTTCGGCCGGCTAATGCAGCGTCATGTGGCGGCGCGCTGCCAAGACTTGGCCTTGTTCTCGAGCAACTTAACGATCTGGAGACGACCCTTGTTGGCAGCGTCGTCTAGGGGCGCGAGGCCCTTCTTGTACTCATAGACATTCATAGCATGCTCCATAGTGGTGACTTCTAGGGGCGTTTTGCCGAACTCGTTCGTGGTATTCGGGTTGGCCTTGTTCTTGAGCAGAAGCTCAACGACCTCGAGATGACCCTCCTTGGCAGCGATGTGCAGGGGCGTGCTGCCGAACTTGTCCGTGGCATTGTTCAGGTCGGCCTTGTTCTTGAGCAAAGACTCAACGACCTCGAGATGACCCCCATTGGCAGCGTCCTGTAGGGGCGTTCTGCCATACTGGTCCGTGGCGTTCGGGTCGGCCTTGTTCTTGAGCAGAAGCTCAACGACCTTGAGATGACCCCCATTGGCAGCGTCCTGTAGGGGCGTTCTGCCATCCTGGTCCATGGCGTTCGGGTCGGCCTTGTTCTTGAGCAGAAGCTCCACGACCTTGAGATGACCCGTGCTGGCAGCTTGGTGAAGGGGCGGCCCGCGAAACATGCTCCTGGCGTTCGGGTCGGCCTTGTTCTTGAGCAGAAGCTCAACGACCTCGAGATGACCCTCCTTAGCAGCGTCGTGCAGGGCCGTGAAACCAAAATACTGGTCCATGGCGTTCGGGTCGGCCTCGTTCTTGAGCAGAACCTCAACGACCTTGAGATGACCCCCATTGGCAGCGTAATGTAGGGGCGTTCTGCCATCCTGGTCCATGGCGTCCGGGTCGGCCTTGTTCTTGAGCAGAAGCTCAACGACCTTGAGATGACCCCCATTGGCAGCGTCCTGTAGGGGCGTTCTGCCATCCTGGTCCATGGCGTTCGGGTCGGCCTTGTTCTTGAGCAGAAGCTCCACGACCTTGAGATGACCCCCGTGGGCAGCGATGTTCAGGGGCGTGATACCAAACCTGTTCCTGGCATTGTTCGGGTCGGCCTTGTTGTTGAGCAAAGACTCAACGACCTTGAGATGACCCTCGTTGGCAGCGTCCAATAGGGGCGTTCTGCCCTCCTGGCCCATGGCGTTCGGGTCGGCCTTGTTCTTGAGCAAAGACTCAACGACCTCGAGATGACCCTCCTTAGCAGCGTCGTGCAGGGCCGTGCTGCCGAACTTGTCCGTGGCGTTCAGGTCGTCCTTGTTCTTGAGCAAAAACTCAACGACCTCGAGATGACCCCCATTGGCAGCGTCCTGTAGGGGCGTTCTGCCATACTGGTCCATGGCGTTCGGGTCGGCCTTGTTCTTGAGCAGAAGCTCAACGACCTTGAGATGACCCCCATTGGCAGCGTCCTGTAGGGGCGTTCTGCCAAAATGCTGGTCCATGGCGTTCGGGTCGGCCTTGTTCTTGAGCAGAAGCTCAACGACCTTGAGATGACCCCCGTTGGCAGCGCCCATTAGGGGCATTTGGCCTGACTTGTCCATGGTGTTCGGGTCGGAACCGTTCCTGAGCAGAAGCTCAACGGCCTCGAGATGACCCTCCTTGGCAGCGTCCTGTAGGGGCGTTCTGCCATCCTGGTCCATTGCGTTCGGGTCGGCCTTGTGTTGCAGAAGGAACTCTAGGATCTGCAGGTACTTGTTCACAACGGCATAGTGGAGGGGTGTCCTGCCATCTAGCTCCATGGCGTTGGGGTCCGCCTTGCGATCAAGCAGGGACTCCACGACTCTCAGGCGATTGCTCTGTGCAAAGCTCCTCCGAATTTTGGACTGGGCCAGGCGATTTTTCCGCTCTTTGAGAGTCTCTTGGATTGCATCAAACTCTTCCGGAATCGCCTCGAGTCTTTGTCCCGCTTGATATTGACGATATAATGCCTTACATGCTGTGACCATCATCCTGCTGTCGATAGCAATTTCTGCTGCCTCGGATCGTAGGCGGCCCGTGCACCCCACAGCCTCAGATGGTTGGGCATCAGTTTAGCTTTAGGGTGGGCTCATTGTTTGGGAGCCTGTCTACAGTACGGGCCCCAAATGCTAGCCCTGCCTCGAACAGCTTCTCGTTCAGATCATCCTGCGTCTTCTTCGCCTGTTCTCCAATAGCCGGTTTAGAGCCGACACAAATCTGAGAGACAGACACGGAGTTTTGATCCCCGCAGCCTCCACCATGAGCCGGATGTGCTGGGCCAAGGCAGCGTCCAGGTTACACGAGTCCGGTGGACAGTCCACGCAGTCCCAGCTGGCGCGGGACCGCTTCATGAAGGCCTTCGTCTTGTCTTTGCTTGTCTTGGCCCTGAACCTGGACCAGGAGGGTAAATGCACCGCTAGTTGCTTGATGAAGGCCTTCGTCTTGTCTTTGATTGTCTTGGCCCTGAGCCCGGACCAGGAGCGCAAATGCGCGGCTAGCTGCGCCCGAAGGGAAGGGCTCGTGTCATGGCAGGTACCTTTCATGTCCAAGATGACGATATGCGGGGACCACCCTCCAGATCCCCAGGCTGCGATTCCCAGCGTCGGCATCTCGTATTGAAAAAGCACTGAATCGGACAGCTTCCGGACCCCTGTGAGATCCTTGTTGACTACTGCAACGACTGTGCCTTGGGCCTTCGCCCGCATGTTCGAGACGAAGCTCATGCTGCTGAAAGTCCACATGTTCTGCAGCATCCTATTTATCTGGTCATCTAGGTAGCAGGCGTTGAGGTCCTGGCTTTCCTCGATGAGTCGTCCCATGATGCTGTCCGGATGCACTGTATCATGGTCCGTTTCATCGGCAAACTGGAACAGTGCGGATTTTGTGGTCCGATTTGTGGGGTCTTCGTCCCAGAAACCTGCCCACAACAGGGCAAAATTCTTCGTGGCTGCAAGGGGGACGAACCAAGACTGTAGGTACATCAGCGCCTGCATGTCACGAACTGTACTGGCAGGAAGATCAAGAGAAGCAAGCTTAGATCGTGGAATGTCCATGGTCTGAACGAGCCTTTGGCCCTGCACAAAAATGTCGCGAACGCTTTCTTCGCAAGTCTTTGCGGCAGGCCTCGGCTCGTAAAAACCGAAGATCCAGTGCTCGCCTTTCTGAGATCTTTGACATTCATCCGTCAATTTCTCCAACAGATGCCCCAGCTGACTCCAGCACTTTGTCCACCCTTTGTCTGAATCTTTGTCTCTCCAGGTTTCTTGAATCCAAACAAGCATGAAGCGTAAGGCGTCGGAATCTTTCGCTTGAGTGCTGGCGCTGTTGCTCTGCTGAAGCCGCTCCCACACTGAGAGCTGCAGCTCCTCTGGCGTAAGGCTCTCGAAGTCTGTCCACCGAGTCAGGTGAAGCTGCTTCGACTCGGTGCGATAGGTGGCGACCATAGACGCCATTGCCCAGCAACAAATGAGCTGGACCATTGCGTGCATGCTAGGCATGCAGCCCATATGCATGGATGTGGGTTTGGCTAAAGCACTCACACGGCTCTGCATGACAAAGCAAGTTCAAGATCCGTGCGCAGCTCACATTCAGATTCTACAGCAGGGGCCGTGAGGCCAAAGTTGAGCTTCCAGCAGGCTCTGAAGCTTCTTGCACCAGGGACCTTCAACAACCTCAACCGTGAGCGTTCAGGCCATGCCAAGCAATGGCAAAACCCGAGTCAAGCAGTCAAGCGGTTCTCATTTTCTCACACAGGCTCACTTCGTGGAACGTCAAGAAGAACAAGACCATGGACGATCGATCTGCTCGAAGATTCCCCAAGCATCCTGAGCAGCACAGCCCGTCAAGGCTGCATTCCATGTGAAGCGGTTTCCTTCCACAGAGTGCTCATCCGAGGCAGGAGCTTCTTAGTCGGGGTGCCCGGAACCTTGAGAACGCAGGCAAAGTGAACAGCGTTGACTTCTACACCGGCTTCGGTTGCCTTCCGGAAGATTCGCATGGCTATTTTGGGATCACGCTGGCAGCCTTTCAGGGCAGTAGTCAGGTGGATTTCTTTCATGGTGATTAGCGAACTTTCGGGACTGCACTGTGACCGCATGGTGAAACTTGAAGCATGAGCTCGGTTGGACCAGGAATGGTGAAAACATCTACTAAGGCTTGAACCTTTGGCGATGCAAGAGCTATACATGAACATACACATCGCAACCCATGCATTCACTACTTGTAACTCACCTTCAATCGCGGGATCGGCGGTCGTTAAAGTGGCGGCCAAAGAATCTTAGGGCAAATAGAGGCATGTGAGGCCCACGACAATGCTTCCCAGTAATGCTGAGCTGGAGGCTTGGAATCATGTTTCCTATCAATGTCGAGCACGCGGAGTGGGCAGAAACCTTAAATGGAACAACAGTAAAGCAACGGTTTTCCAGGGAAGCACCATCATCAATCATGAGGTGCATCGAGTACTGCTGACAGTTTAGCACCACACGTTCACTTTCCGATGACTTCACTCAAGAACGACAGTGGCATCTCCTTGCATCCTGCCTTGCCTCCCAAAGCCTCCCCAGTGCTGAAGGAAGTCTCAGCTAAGGGTTTAGGTGTTCAGGGAGTTTAGGGGCGATCTCGGTGGAACAGAGTCAGGGCCAGGTGTGGCGCCATGCAGGCTTCTTGCTCTTAAAGATCGAAAACACACACACACACAACCATGATACCATGAAGCTCACAGGCAAGTGAGATCGCCTCCAAGACTGCCAAGTCCCGATCCGAAAGCTCGCAATAAGTCAGGGGCAGGGCCAGGCTGCAAGCCAGACATCACGGGAGGCTCTCCTCTTTCCTTGCTGCCTTGGATTCTAGGCGAGAGCCATTTGGCTGTGGAGGCAACAGCCGCTTCACGGCTGGCCAATGGTGAAAAGAAAGGACATGTGCTCATGTATTCCTCGGCTCCTCTATACAGAAGGATGGCGATGCAGCCTGAACTCTTCGAGATTCTGAGTCAACGCTGCGCCGCGCTAGAAGATCTCGTCTGGAAAAGCAGAACATGGCTGGTGTGAGCTGAGACGCACGAAGCAGTAGTGCCGGGCTGCCGAAATAACATGCTGCATTACAGAATGCTGCATATTCTTGAAAAGCAAAAAGAGCTTGAAATTGGACACACAGAGACACACCTAGCTAGAGCGATAAGTTGCAGCTGGCTGGGCAGAAGCTCGGAAGAGCCCCCCCAGAGGATGCAGTGCAACCACAGCTCTGTGGACAAAGATGGGCCAATGGCCGGAAGAGATCCGGCATACCCTCACACCACTCAACATCCATGATAGCATCTGTTGGAAACTCGATCAGTGCCTCACACCCTGCAGATAGCATTCTCTCCACTGTCTGAGCCACAACGACCTCCAAGTTGGCCTGCGCCCCCTCCCCGAAATATGCCCTCGCCACCACGGGATAGAGCGACCAAAAAGCCTGCCAACCATCGCTCGTCACCTTGGGTTTCTCTTCGGGAGGTAAGCAATGCAACCCTGCACCTGTTGAACCTAGGACAAGGATCTATGAACCTAAAAACGTGCAGGAAACCTCAACGCTTCAACTGAATCCAAGCTACGGACACATCCGTACAGCTGCTGCTGGAAAGAGCCCTTCGCGCAATGCGGAGGCATGTGGATGCACAACCCTGTGTTTCCGTCCTGTACCAGGGCGAGCTGTAGGGATCCGTGCATCCACATGTTTGTCCGCACACCAATCGCAGCAAGCGGGCGTTCAAACGACTGCACTGATCCTTCAGCTCCAAGCAAGACGTTGCACCGGTGCGCCCGACGGTGGCTGCTGCAGTGTTGACAAGCTGCGTGGCCAAAGGCTGCATGGAGGCATCGCCGTACATGTCGCCGCTGCTATTCAGCAGCCGAGTCTCCACACAGAAGGGATAGGCTGAGGCTTCTTCTCGCATTGTGCGTGACCTGCGCTCCGAAAATGTGTCAATGTCGGGTGCGAAAGTGATGTAGGTGGAGAAGCCATCAGGGGTTGTTTCTGCGGATGTGGCTTTGTGAGCCCGCACTGCAATCTCGCTGATGGAGTCATTTCGAAGGTCTCGGGACATCACGGTCACCAGACCGATCGTCCTCTGCGTATCTGTGTTATGTGACACTACGAAAGTCTGATTGCCATCGCACATCTGTGTCTTCACCGTCAGCATGATTTGCTGCAAAGGGTCCAAGAGAAAGAAGTAGGAGAGGAGTACAACCGTCAGCAAAGAACCAAAATGCACTGTGGATTCCACTTGACTCCGGAAGTTGCTGTAATAGACCTTTGTCGGCTTTAACTTTCCAAGCGCTTCCTGAATCTTGGCAGGCGTCATGCCGACAAACAGGAACTCATCAACATCCAGAATCGCATTCAGTGCGACGGCATTCAGCATGAGGTCCTGGATGGACGTTGTTCGAGCCAACCACAGAATTCCAGCAACCAGGAGGATGGAGGCAATTCCTGCCCTTGCCAAGTGTATAAGGACCAGCATAGCCCGCCTTGCACGGGACAAACTGCGGAATCTGTTCTTCTTGAGCGACGTCCTGCGAGCTTGTGTTGACCCCATTTGCAAACCCCAACATCAAAACCTGTATCCATTTCTCGGAACCTTAATTTACAGGGGACCAGCAAGCGAGCGACCTCGTGCCTGCATCAGGGTTTTGGTAACGGGCTCACTATGAGCTTCCCGGCTCTATTCATCACTGGAGCAGTCGGGTGCTGCCGCCTTCAAAGGACTCAGGCTCATGCTACTGTACTAAATATAGTATAGTATATTATAGTATATAGTATAGTCATAAGATAATGTACCAATTACTATAGTGTAGACTCATGCTTTTGGGCCGTGGCTTCCGAGCTTCGTATTTCCTGCCGCTTGACGACGTCGGAATGGAGATGGCGATTTCTGCTTGCCTCCATATGAGCCGGAACTCCTCCCGGGTTTAGGGTTTAGGGTTTAGGGTTTTTGGGTCCGTAACGGATTCAGGATTTGGGGCTGGTAGATTGAGCTTGTGCTAGCAACGATCACATCACGCCAGCGCAGGAAACGAGAACACATGCAGCTAGAGGACGAACAAGCCACTGCAAAAGCTTCTTTACTCGTTGAAGCTGGTCTCGCAGATAGCTATCACAAGCTAACACGACTCCACACACCCCTTCACCACAAAGCAATGGGCCTTGTACACGCACAGCGTCCACAGCACGATGCAAAGCATGCTTAGCAGAATGCCGGGCTGGAACGTCCCATGCACGTACTGCGTCTTTTCCAACCCCAGAAAGCTATTTATCTGGTCGATCAAGGCTGCCTGAGTTGTCGAAAGGATGAGCGCCTCATCACCCATGCACACCCGCGACACCAGGCTGGTGTCCGCCAAGTCCAAATGCTTAAAATCGTGAGCCACACTTGTGCGCCAGACCTCTGCAGCACCGACCTTCGCCTCAAATGCATCTCCCATGAAGGCACGCGTCAGCAGAATGGCGGAGAAGCATGTTTGCATGGTGACGTTGAGCACCACGAGCAAAGCGGCGAAGAGACTATCAAACCACCCAAGGGGAAGCTCTGCAAGGCCCAGGAGCAAAGGTACCGTCCAAATGCTTTCCTCGAACCGAACTTCCGTCACTTCTTCCTCCTCTTCCCCTGGAAACCGTTGCAACATGTTGCAACTAGCAGACTAGGTACGAAAACGACACCTACCTTATTGACAAGCAAGCTTGACTGAAGAGCCCAGTCTCCTTTCTGGGCCTCGACAACCGGCACCTCAGTGGTGGATGGCTTCTCATTCTCATTCTCATTCGTCATGTTCGGAGCAGCGGACGGGGTCTCATCCGTCAGGGACCCGTGGGAGGAGCGGCGATGTACACTGAAGCCATCAAGCTCTGCAAGCTGCTGCTCTGCCTCATCGAGACGAGTGCGGAGATCGCCAAACTCAAGCTGAAGCTCCTGGCGCAACCTGGCAATCTGGCTCTCAACGAGGTGTTCCACGTCGTGGAAGCTGTATGCTGGTATCTCCACTTCTGTGACCTTCACTTCACCTTGCGTATCCTGCTGCAAATCCACACTGATCAGCTGGCTGGAAGGCGCCAGTGCCGCCATGCTAAGGCGCAGTGCCAAACGTTCGCGCACTCAAAGAGACCCTTGGATATACTTTACATGCAAAAGAAAAGCTTGAGCCATGGCTTCCGCATTTCCGGACATGCAAGGTTTCCGGAAGGGAGCGAAGATACAAAACAAACATGTGCGAACGGAGGTGATGGACTCGTCACTCAGGCCACAAGCTGGTATGTGCCTTTGGGATGCGCAAGGTCATCCAACAAAACATGCAGAACCGGATGGTGGTCAAAACTGAGATTTTCGAGCTGGCAAAAACAAAATCTCAGCAGGCAAAGGCTGCGTACGCCCGTACAAACCTCCTCGCCACCATCTGTTGCCAAAAGCTCGAAGGAAAGCCAAGGGCTGCCGGGGTTTTTCTGCCTGGCAGGACCCCCCACTTGACACATCCATTTTGTCAAGTCGGTTTGGGGGCTGTCCGCAAGGGGGCTCTGGAGGGCCTCTGGAGCACTTGATAAAACTGACATGAGTTAGACGAGCACCAGCTTGAGCCACAATGGGTAACAGTCACATCTGGCCCAAGGCCCAGGCTTCCGCCCGAGAACCTGAACATCGGCCCATTTTCTGTCCGTTTTGAGCCGCGAATCTCTCCACCACTTCTCCTCTTAGCACTCGCAAGGGCAGGGAGGTTCTGGGGCCCGGCTCGAAGGCGAAGGGCCCAGCCTGGGCGCGGAGAGTGAAGGGCTAGGGTCTACGGGACAGGGGTCGGGACTTGCAATGCTACATGGGCACGTTTTCCTGTGTGGAAGTCTCGGAAGTTCAAGTTTCGAGCCTCCGGTAACTAGATCCCGAAAGGAAAGTTGCCAGGCATTTGGCAGCAAGAGGGCGGGCACCCCGCTGCGCTGCCCTACCGGCAGGTGTCTGTGCTTGCGTTTGGCTTTTGATGCTGTGGCCGCAGAGCCTATGTGTCCCCACATCGCTTCTGTAATGCACAGATGGACGCACGGAGGCAGCGAACCTCATAAAGCATGCAATCCTATACAAGGCGCCTAGCGCTCTGTAACGCACGGCACCGTGCAGAGGGGCACATCGTCCCTCGGAATGCATTGACAAGGTCTCCTGTACGCCTGCATCGTATGCCTTGAGCTTCCAAGCACCCTTGGCGGCTTGGCGTCTAGGGTGATCTGCCGAGGTCGCCAGCGCAGTCTTGAAGGTGCCCCAGCTGGTGCCTTCGACCAAGCACCTGACCCCCTCCTCGGGCTCGTTGAGCTCATCCTCCAGCAGCTTCACCTCTTAAAGTCAGAGTCCAGGCTGGGATACAGCGCCATAGAGAATGAAGCCATTGAAAATTAAATTGAACTCTCCGTTATTGATGCGCTTCAAGGTGTCGTCGCAGCTCCGCGTCCACCCCTCATCGGTCTTCACCTTGACCCTAGGGCCGAAGTTGGAGGTGATTGGGGCGGCGGATTGCGGTAGAGCCTCCACCTAAGCTCTCGTGCTCAGGCGCTTCCGAAGCCCAAACAAATCCGGTTCGCCCTTCCTAAACCACTATAGTAGCTCCTCGGCCCTGCCTACACCCCCAAAAAGAAGCTCTGGGCCCGCTGCAGGGCCGAGTCCGGGAGTCTGGGATGCCTGAACGCAAGGGGTAAGGCGTGAAAATTTGTGGATGTTTCAGGATTCCCGATATCTTGTAGATGCGCAGTAGACGCAGGAAGATGTTTCCGGATGCCCTCGACTGTATCAGCATGAGCTTGCTGCTCATGAACTTCCACTCTCAGCGGTAACATCGTGCCGCTCTTATTTTTCTTGCCGCAGCTCTGTGAAGTGACCGACATGAGCCGAACTCGCACACGCAATGGCATGACGCTTGCACGAAACAAAATCAATGGTCGCATGTCATAGCATACTGGAACGCAACCCCACACAACCCGCTTGAAAAAATCCCGCGCGGGAGGGTGGGTGAGATCAAAATTTATCACCTGGACCTCTGTCAGCCGCAATGGCTGAGACACCAGGTTCTGTGTGCAAAGCTTATATGGGTGTACAGCCCCTACCCAACCATCCTTCGTGTACGCAGCATCATGTCTCAGGGTTCCCAGTATCTTTTAGATGCGTAGTAGACGCAGGAAGATGCACAACAGGGTGAAGGCGCTTCAGGGGGCTTGGAGAAGCAAGCTGCAGCTTTCCGCATGCTCGCTCGACTGTACCAGCAAAAAGAAAGCCTAGTGGAAAGAAAGAACTTGCTGAGCATTCACAGATCAGGCTCCCTTTCGTGTTCTCTTGTTCGTGTTCTCCCTCTCGGGTTACCTTTCGAGTTCCCTGTAGGCCATCGTGCAAGTCCTTGAAATCCGCCAGGAGAAGCCGGCGAAGGCCGCAGCCACGCAGAGCCATGACAAGACGCCGACCCAGGAGCTGAGCGCCAAGGAAGCGGCGACGATGCCTCCGAGCATGAGGAAGGCAAACGTCACGCCAATCGCCGAGTACCGAAACAGCTTCCACTTCTTCTCCGACCAAATCACGTACTCGCAGGCCGTGATGGCCAAGAAGACCGTGGAAGGGAACCAAAGCATGTCCAAAGCCACCAGAAAGGTCAAGGCATAGGTCAGCCAGCTTTCAAAGGAGGCACCCACAAGCAATAAAGATACCAGGTTCCCTAGCGGCAAAGCAGCAGCAGACGCCAAGCCGACCAAAATGTAGCCGAAGGGGATGATGCCCTCAGACCGCATGAGCGTCAGAACCTCGACGCGGAAGGGCCCGCGAACGTGTTCCGTGAAGGCATCCAAGCTCCCGTACCAATGCACGATCGCCGCGTGGATGCATTCCTTGTCCCGCTTCTTGCTGCACTGCAACGTCGTGACATCAAACGTAGACAGCTGGAAGATCATCTTCTGCACGCATCGTTGGCACTGCACGATGACACGCACCAGCGCGGCACCGAAGGCCAAGCAGACCAAGGAGATGATAGCGAGAAACCCAACGTTGCGGGACCGGAAACTGCCACGAATGGATGGGTAAACAATAGCAACTAACAAAGCAAAGAGAAACACCCGGCCACAAGCCGCATCGACCAGGAGTGGTACCACGCGGATCTTTCCCGTCGGGTTCATCTTGCGGAATGCCGCAAGCTCGAAGATGCACCAAATCCTGCGTTGCTGCTTGGCTTACAGTGGGGTTTCAGCTTTTCGATGCGGAGCATAAGATGCACCTTGGTTTTTGGACTTGGCTGATTCATTGGTTTCATGGTCACGGCCTAGGACCTCGGACTACCCGTAAGTAGTTGACCTGAAAGCGTGGAGGGCTTTGGGTTTAGGGGCTCAGGCTGCTTCTCGTGGAATTCGGGGTCTGAGTCTAAGGCCTGACAAGGGGTTTAAGACATGAGTGGTTGTCAAAATTAGGGTCCCTTTTTGGGGCACCCTAAATATTAGGTGCCGTATCATAATAGGGACCCAACAGAGGACCATCATTTTGACAACCACCCATATATGTCTTAGTGTATTAGGCTTGCACGACGAGATCCTCGTCAGGTAGGGCTCGCTCCAAAGAACCCGCAGTTCGGCAGTGGCCGCCAGGAAGTTGCCGATGTTGTCGATCCCCTCTTGCATGAGCCGCTCGTTTGTCTGGCTGATAGACACGAAGTCCAGGAAGCATCGATCCGAACGGCTCCTCAAGTAAGGAAAGGCAAGGAGGCCCAAGATCGCGCCAAGAGTGGAGCAGATCAGGACCCAATAGCCATCTGGAACCTCAGGTTCAGCATCCAAAACCACCCGCGTGCCTGTGAACCGAGGCAGAGTTTCTGTCAAACAGAGAGGAACGGACATAGCTGCGCCGATAAGCCATCCGAGTAGAAGAGTCGGATAACCGAATCGGATGAGTAACGACAAGGCTTTCAACCTCCCATCTGTCAGCCAGGTATGGGACAGGAACACGTCGAAGGCAGTTGTCGGGCTGGAGGTGTCGTAAAGGCGTGCCCGCTGCTCCCAGCTCAAAGCTGGAGGTCGAATGCGCCAAAGCCTTGCAGCTCGTTGCAACGTCTTCCGCATCGAGATGGCTCGCATCAGCCCTTCACGACTGCTCTGCCGGGTCAGATCCGAGCGATCGTGGATTACATCTTTTTCTGCTGAAGGAATTTCGGCATCGCCGGCATCTTCATAAGCTCGCATAGAACCAGCTTCTTCCATATGAGCTGCAGCATCCGGCTCATCGGGCACAACATCCGCCCGCATGCTCACGACACACTGCTGCTCATTGGGCTCTGGCTCTCCGCAAGCGGAACAGCAGTTCCCCATGGCGGGACCGATGATCTCCGACATTTGGGGATCTCCGACGGCCTGCTCCTTGCCTTCGGCAAACGAAGCCAGGCTCTTCGCTGTCCTTTTAATTAGTATGAAGATCTCCCGTGCTGTTTTGAGCCCGAATGATGGCCCGAAGCGATCTCAAACGCGACTCCCCCAAATCATTAAGCGACTCGAGACACCAAGATGGACACAACAATCGCTGCAGGAAACCATCACAACGAAGCACCGCGGCCTGCGGCAGGGCCTGCACCCCCCTGAGGCTCGGCGGAGTGTAGCCACCTTGACAAGCAGCGGATAGGATGCACGTGTTCGGGCCAAGGGCGCACGACGGTCTGAACAGAAGCACTCCACTACTCCACGTCAGGCTTCAGATGGTGTAGACCTACCTGTCGGGCTTCGCAGGCTCGAAGATCTTCCGACTCGACTCCAAAAGTCAAACCACCATGGATCCGGAACCTGCTTAAGAAACGTTCTCCACCGTTCAAAAGACATATTCCTAATCGTCTCTTCTTGCACTACAGCCTTGCGCCTTTGCACCCCCGCCGGGTCGTAGTCCTGAACCCCCGCTGTCTTGCAGATCACTCCCAAACCCTTCCCCCCCTCGCTGCAGATCCCCTTCTTAGGCCCTGAGCCTAAACCCCGTTTCCTCCCTTGCGGACCTCCTCCCAAACCTCCCCCAAGCCATCGTAAACCCTGGCTTGCAAATCCTACCTCAACCCCCTCTGCAGATCCTCTCTAAACCCCCTCTCC